GGTTCACTGCGCAGGGATCTCGGGTTCAGAGGACTGGCTCTTGCTGGTTGTGAGATCCCTCCTTCGGCTCCTCAGGGGCTCACTTTATACCCTGCAGGACGGCTCTCCAGGGAGTCCTGGTCACAGCCACTCACAGATCCCATCAGGATCTGCCCCACCTTAGTACCAGAGCCACGTGGGGAAAGGTGGCTTGGTGGGAATGGGAGACTTTGTTTAGAACAGCCACATTACATAACTCACTGCGCCTACGCCCAGAACCACCTGAGGGCTGCTTTTTGAGCATGTGGTAGAAGTAGTGGCAAGTTGCCTGATCCCTAATGTCCCCGGGGGAAGAACATCAGCGTCGGCCCAGGGCTGTTTCCTGTGCGGCAGAGGTCATCCTTGACGCCTCTCTCCAACCTTGTCACCCAGTCTGACTCCTGCTGTCCCTCCTACGGGCACTCGCTGCCCTTCTGCTGGCTTCATGATTGGTTGCAGTGGTCGCCTGGTGCTCATGGACCACACTGGTGTCTCTGGTGTTAGGGGAGCAGCAGGTTACCACTCAGCATCAGGAGAACCTCTCGGCCATGCCCATCTGCTTTCTCCCTGGGTCTGACTGATCCCGGAAGTGGTCAGCAGCCTTTTCGTGAGTCCCCGTCAGTCATTCAGCACATCCTTGGTCTATGGTAAATGTAATGTCGCGATCCAGGACCTCGGTCCCTCGGCCGTGTGCTCCCCCTCGGACCTCTGTGCTGCTCCAGCAAGCGTCAGGAGCTCTCCTGCTTCACCTCAAAGTGCATGAGGCACCCACCCTCCAGGAAGCCTCCCGAGAAGGTGCTCTGCCTTCTTGCTTGGTGGGCCAGGACAGGACGAGCACTGCAGAGCCCTACTGTCCCTGCTGCTGCCACCCCCGCTACTTGTCACCCTCTCTCTGTCCCTTGGGATCCGGGTCCAAAGCCCACCCCCCGCCCAGCTCCTTTTCCACAGTGGTGGGCCTCATGCTTGGGGTCACTCTCTGCTCTGCCCTTGACTCTTGTGAGCCTAGTGGAATGGCACAACTGACCTGTCCCTTTGTTAGGGTGTCATGCACTTTATTTGTATCAGCAAGCTGTCCAGTCCCCTCAGTGGGCGACAAGCACCTTTTTTGCATAGTTACACGCCCCCCCTCACCGTCATTAGTGGGAGTTGTAAGACCCTGGTGGGGAAGGCAGCCCAGCTAAGAGCCTCCCGTCACCCTGCACATGCAGTCCTTTATTCCCAATGGTTTATTTTGGAGTTTGCCTTTTTCAGAAAAGTTGCTGAAGTACAACAATCATCCGTGTACATTTCATCAGGAGCCTAACACACACTTGCATGATCTCTCTCTCTCTCTCACATGCACACATCATTTTTCTGCAGAGCCATTTGGCACCACACTGTGTACAGCATGTCATTGTGCTCTGAAATACTCAAGCATGTCTGGTCTAACAATAAAAGTCCCTACCGCACTTTATCACACCCAAGGCATTTAATACTGACCGCGGAGTATTACACATGAGGACGCTTCAAAAAATTCCAGTGTCTTTCAGTTCCATTTTCCACAAACTTGTCAATGTTCCCTCGTGGGGGGGCGGGGGCGGGGGTCCGCGCACGTACTCGGGTATGCAGTCCCAGTTCTCCACTGGCTCCCGTTGCTGTATACTGTTCCTCTTTGCGGTTTCTGTCCACCCCCACCAGCTTAAGGGCTGGTGCAGCCTTGCATTTGAAAGCTCTGTCTCTAGTTGCCTTGATCCCAGTTAGTTCCCACCCCTTTGTCTGTATTCCAGTAGATTTTTTCTTTCCTAAGCCTCCAAGCTGCCGGTACAGATTCCCACGAGTAGCTCTGTTCCTTACCAAGAGGGCTTAGTCTAGGCCTTGGGCACTTGCATAATAGGCTGTCCATCCGACTACCCCCAGCCATCTCCGTGTTCAGTCACCATCACCATGTGGTCAGCGTGGGGTCTCTGGGACCTTTGTCACTAATCACCAGCAGGACAATGAGCCGTCCAAAGAGCCACTCCCCTGCCTGACCATTCCTGCATGTGGGTGGCCACAGTGGTGTCTAATGCCTGGCCGGGATCCCAGAATTGGCTGTTGAAGCCCCTCCCAGCTGTGCCTGTGTCCTTTTGCTGTGTCCCCGTCAGTCACTGAGCCCATGATTGCTTCCTGGTAAAGAAACAAACAAAAGGTCAGGTGTCCAACTCACCCTGCGCGTTCCTTGTGCCAGTAACGCCACCACCGTTTCTCCAAGGACCCTGGTTCCTTTGTAGTGGGAAACGTTAGGTGCCATTGAGTCAGTCCCGACCGGAGCGGCCCTGTGCACCACAGACTGGACCGCTGCCCAGTCCTGCACCGTCCTCACGTTCCTTCGTTCCTGTGCCTGAGCCCAGTGTTGCAGCTGCTGTGCCCATCCGTCTCCTCGCAGCCTCCCTCTGTTTCTCTGCTCCTGACTGTACAGATCACGGTGTCCATCTCCAGGGCCTAGTCTCTCCTGACGCATGTCCAAAGTAAGTGAGATCAAGTCTCGCCATCCCTGCCTCTAAGGAGCACTCTGGCCATACTTCTTCCAGGACAGATTGGCTTGTCTTTTCGGCAGTCCGGGGTACTTTCCATGTTCTCCAGCACCACAACTCAAAGCATCGATTCTAACTCAGTCTTCCTTATTCCAACACGTCCAACATGCATGTGTGTATGGGGCAGTTGAAGTTACTGGGGCACCTTAGCCCTCAAAGTAACATCTTTGCTCCTCAGTGCTCTAGCGAGGTCTTGCACAGCCGGTTTATGTACTTAGACACCAAGATCTGGGGCCAGGTCGGCTGGTTGCCCCTGCGGTGTCATTGCTTCTCTACCCTCCTGGTGGACAGAGCAAGGATTCATGTGTTTGGTGCAGTGTGCTTGCTGCCGCTCTGCAGGGGCCGCTCGCCTGCTTGTAGAAGCCTTCCAGACGGCAGGCAGGCAGCACACTGCAGAGCTCAGGTCTGGGCGTGGAATCTTCCTTCCCCCTCGCCTCCAAGGAGCTGGTGCTCTGTACGCTGGCAGCGTGCGGAGTCCACTAACCATTAGCCCTGCCTGCCTCTGGAAGATAGCCCAGCAGGTGGGCACAGGAGCAAGAGGCTGGATTCCTTTATTTACCTTCCACCACCCCCCACCCCCAACTCCACTCTGGCTCACAGCAGCCCCAGTGGACAGGGTAGAGGAGCTGCCTCAGTGGGTTTCCAAGGCCTCACCTTTCTCCCGAGATAGGACCCGGGCCGTGATGAAACTCCATGTTGAAAACACGTCCCACACAGCCGCTTTGTTTTAGGCACCGGCGAAGGCCCTGGGCTGCAGAGAGGAGCTGGACTTTGGCCCTGCCCTGTGGCCGAGTCACACATTTGACAGCAGGGAGGTAGCACTCGAAAGGGGGAATACAGCCGTGCCTTACAGCCCTGGACACAGCAGCTTAGCAGGGGGGTCTGCCTATTGCGCATTGTAACCGCTGGATCCCTGAAATGCCCGCTGCTCGCGGAATACCAGGGCACAGTGGCATGTCTGCACTAGCACATCTCGTCCACGTAGGGGACAGAAAGCTTTGTGTGTGTCAAATTCTAGGGGAGCCCACAGGTGAAATCGGCCGGCACCTGCTGTCAGCCTTACGAAGCTAAAGGTCGCCGGATGGTCTGAAAGTGGCCCCCTTCTGCTTACCCAACTCTGCGTGGCTGCTGTTGTGTGACGACGCCCTCCTATGCTCAGCTGTGTGGCCTTGTGCTGCCTGTGCAGAGCCCGTGGGTGTTGCATCTGGGTTTGTCCTTGCTGTGGCCCGAGGTGAGAGTCCGTGCAGCCTCTTGGTGGCGGTGAGGAGAAGTGGTCATCAGAGCCTGTTCCCCAGCACGCGTCGCTCCTGTGTGCACGCCTCGGTGTGACACGTTCTTAGAGCGCCACGTGAGACCTAGTATCTGGGGGTGCCCCGAGTGCTTCAGGGAGCTACTGCATGTTTCTCACTGGAAAACGCACGGAGATGGTTGCGTGGCAGACCAAGATGGTGGCGGGAATGGATCTATTTTTGTGAGGCAGGGGAAGCAGTTTAGGGACGCGGTCTGTGGGCGTCTGGGGTTGGCTCTTGTGGAAGGTGAGCTCTAGGCCAAGGTCGGTTGTCTTTTGCCAGTGGCGGCCAGGTTTCCCCACTGCCCTTGGTTGGAAAGGACGGTCCCTCCTGCGTGGCGGGGCTTTTTGCGTCCTTGTCAAGACTCGAGGGGCTGCGTTTGTCAGGTGTGTTTCTGGATGGCGCTGCTCTCTCTGCTCGCTCGTCGCCCATCTCGTCTCCCGCCAGCACCACAGTCTTGTCACCATCGCTGGGTGATCCCAACCCAGACCAGTTGTCATGGCAGCGATGCCAGCTCTCGGTGTCAGAGTCGGACACCGGGCTTGTCTTCCTGGTGCCCCTGGCCACACCCACACTCACAGCACGAGCCACCTGCACTCCCAGGGGCTCCTCTGTAGTGAAGTAGGAAGTCCTGATGCTGGGGAGAGGAATTCCTGCATAATCTTCCCTTTGAGAATTGTTCTAGGGATCCGAATGCCCCTGCCTCCTCCTGTAAACGTGGGCAGGCTTGCCCCAGTGAGGTTTGGGTAGGAAAGTCTGTGTGGGTGTGCAGAGAATTGGGACACCCAGTACTGCGAGTCTTCCAGTCCATGAACACGGTATGCCTTTCTGCTTTCTAATGAGCCCTGGTGGCATATTGGTCACACATCGGGCTGCTGGCTGCAAGGTCGGCAGTTTGAAAGAGTCACTCACCGGGCCTTCTACTCTGGTGAAGAGTTGACAGTCTCGGACACTCACGGGGCAGCTCTTCCCTGTGCTGCCGCGTCCCTAGACATTGGAGTTTGGTTTCTGCTGTGAAGATTAAGGTCCCTGAGGCGGCTGTTGACAGGGGTCCAGGAGTGGTTTTGTGCCACGTAAAGTGTCAAGGACGCTCAGACTGCATTTTGGTTGACGCTCTCCCCCCTCCCCTCCCGGTTCACAGGCCTATGAGAGGAGGTTCCCCACCTGCCCTCTGATCCCCATGTTCGTGGACAGTGACACCGTGAGCGAGTTCAAGAGTGAAGACGGGGCTGTCCACATCATTGAGCGGCGCTGCAAACTGGACATAGACGCCCCCCGGCTGCTGAAGAAGGTGACTCCCCCTGG